TCCACCAGCCTGCATGAGAGCCTTCAAAGCCTACAAGACAGGACGGGAGAGGAGAGGAGAGGAGAGGAGGGGAGGGGAGGGGAGGGGAGGGGAGGGGAGGGGAGGGGAGGGGAGGGGAGGGGAGAGGAGAGGAGAAGGACGGGTCAGCATCTGTCGATCGCAGCTGAGAGAGAATGAACGAAAGGGAACGAGGAGCTGCAGTGAGACACGATTGACAGCACAGAATGGTAGAGAAGGAGAGAATGTCATGAAAGACTACACGTTAGATGGAAGGACCCAACTCGAATTTGAGATCGAAGAACACTATTGCTCGGACTAACAAATTGAATCCCCCCTTGCACTGTCCTTATTTGGTGTATTTTGAGGTCGTTGTGCTCAGAAAGAACGTCTATGATTGAATCTTGTTGGTGGCCTGTTGCATTGGATTTTGGATGCTCATTTGACCGGAGATCTAACGAAGTTGTGCAATGACTCATGCGATCATTTGTCTTTGCTGTCTCATCTGATGTATCTGATCTTCCACGATTTCCACATTTTTTTTCGTCTTTTCGTCTTATTGCTTCTGCATTCCATTACAGTAATATCCTTGTTCAGAAAGTCTAGAAACAACGCGTCCACGTATCATCTCATAAGCACTCTACAAACATGTCAAGGACTATGGGTGGACAGCTGCTGCCCTTGGAGCTGATTGATCGCTGCATAGGTTGGAATGAATCACCTTAGCAACATTTGTTTGACGGTTTGTACAGGATCAAGAATTTGGATCATCCTCAAAGGCGACAAGGTTTGATAATTGCGCCGCCATTCTCTCGCGATCCTCACGTCGTGCCACATCAGGAGTTTGTTGGGACGTTGCAAGGCTTCGATGACTATGTCAACATGGTGTTGGAGGTTGGAAGACGGAGGAGGGCGCTGTGCCAGTGAGAGGCTGATAGAATCTGCTCAGGATGTCACGGAGTTCGAAGTGAATCCTGATGGGGGGTATCGAGAAACAAAGCTCGATCAAATCCTTCTCAACGGCAACAACGTAACTTTCCTGCTCCCTTGTGACGAAAGTCTGACAGTCGTCGCTCAGATCTGCATGCTTGTTCCTGGCGGAGAAGGGCCCGTTGCGCAAGGAGGTGGACAATGAGGTAATGTCCGAGGCACGCGGTAGTTTCAGCGCAGCTCAATCTGAAGACAGAAGACGGGAGAGTGCGGTCAAACACCAACATCTACATGTAATTTCTACTTGCAACTCGAAGAATCTTTTTTTAAAATACTTGAAGAGACCAAAAGAAGAAAAGGAAAGCAAAGAGGGGAAAGGAAAAGAAGCGGAAGAAAAGGAAGGGAGGGGAAGGGAAGGAAAGGAAATGGGAAAACAAAAGAATACCGTGTGAAGAGTTGCTCAAGATAGTTTACAGCCTCTGGCGGAGGTTGAGGACCGCTGTCAACCCGACGAGGCTCACAAAAGCCCAGCAGGTGCAGGACTCCTTGGTCGCGAACAGACTCGACCTGCACTGAGAGTTCGATCGGATGCTCCTTGCAATGGGATCCATCGCAACCTTCAACCCCGACAAGCAAGCCTCCATCGTCTGCGCATACCCAGCCCTGTCGATGCGCCGCTTGCTCCAAGTGCACAACTCCCCGACGATTCTTATGGGCATGTAGATGCCGCACGGAGCTTTCCGCCTCTGCACCATAAGGATCCTGCTACAAGCTATGGCCTCCGACATGAATTGCGCTACCAAGTTGGCAGCCTGACGCCTCGTGTGCCCCCTTGCCTTGGCTCTCTCCTGGAAGTGACAGCGGAGGCCTTGGGGCAGGTGCACGGTCGAAGTCGGAGGGAAAGGAGTCAGTCCAGCCAGGCATCCACCACTAGACAACTTCCGCGCCAGGCTCAGCTTGTAGGTGCACATGGGGCATCCGTGGAGCACGTCCGTGCTCTGTGATGGTAAGATCTTCTTCTTGAGGAAGTTCACGATCATCACGAGCAGCTCGTGGGGGCGAGCTGTGTTGTGAGAGCCTTGAAAGACGGCAAGGTGCTTCTCCGACTGCGCGTTCTCGTAGAGCTTCCTGCTATTCCACGGTCCGATGAAATCATCCTGCTCCCCGTGCAGGAACAAGATGGGCGTGCGTTTGATTTTCTTCACCGCCTTGTCCGGGCAGACGTCGTTAATGTCGAAGTGCCCTCTAGACAGGACGGAGGAGCGGAGGGAGTCGAGGCAGTGCCGCATCGCCTCCGTCGCACGGAGCTCCCCAGCAGCGCCCTTCTCGACCATCCAGAGCTGCAGGAAAGGCACCATGCTGATGTACCTGTGCGAGACCTCCATGGCGACACTCTCCACCGACGAGTAGCAGCTGTCGATCACAAGGGCACTCAGATCGTCTTGCAAGTTCCCGCAAGCATGAGCGCGGTAGCGGCTCCCATGCTGTGGCCCCAGACCGCGATCTTCTTGACCTCCCGCAAGCTCTGGAGGTGCTTGATGACGCAGAACAGGTCCAGGCTCTCGAAGTAGCCGAGGCTGCACGTCTCTCCGTCTGAAAGACCCGCCCCGGAGAAGTCGAAGGTGAACACGCTTATGTCTTCCGGGAGCAGGTAGCTGAGGGACAAGAAGTAAGCGAGCGATGCATCAAGGGAATGGCTCAGCAGCACCAAAGGTAATCTTCGACGTCTCCTCGGAAACCTCCCGTCCCATGGCAATACACAACGACAGGGTACTGACAAGATGACGTGTAAGGAGGAGGCTGTGGAGTAGACTAAGCAGCAACCTGGGAGAGGAAAGTAGGAACGTAGTGACTGCACGCCAGGATTTGCCCCCGATCATTCACAATCTGTCTAGGAGTAAGACCAAAACCAGAACACTTCAGTGAGAATACTACCTCAAGGTCCTGCCGCTTGAAAACTCTGTCATTGATGGCAAATGATGGTGGCCCGAGTTCTTCATCAGGATCGTAAACCATCCTGTAGTCTGATCAGAGCACAAAAAACTCTGAAGCAGAGGTCCTCTGGTCCTCTCTCTCTTTCTCAAACAACCCCCATTCTTTCCTCCATCATTTCACTACGTATTCTCACTCCCTTACTCACTCCGATCCCCGAGCTGCACCCACCAATGCTTGCTCTTCCTACTCCCTCCTGTCCTCCTCGTCCTCGTCCTCGTCCTCCCCGTCCTGTTGTCTTCTCCTCCTCGTCCTCTTTGTCCTTTTCCTTCCTCTTTCCTCCTTCCTCCCAACCTCCTCGCTCTCTTCACCTCTTGGGCTTGCAGAGTGTATCGGCGAGAACATCCCACACGCCCATGTCGACAGCCTTCTGAATTTAACCAGAAACTTGCTAAATCATTGTCCAAGGGATCTGAAACGACGTAATTTAGACTTAAAGTTAGCTACAATCCATTTAATTTGCTGAGATTCAGGGTGCAGGGTGCCTCCAAGCCCCTAACGCACTTTTGTACAGTTTATGGCGATTCTGGTACAATTTAACTTGATTTTAACCAGAAAGTACCTAATTAGGTACAATCCTGCTGAAACAAGCTCAAAGAGTTCACAAACCCCATCGTTTCATAGTTATAAAATGTTTGAGATAAAAAGTGTGTGCTGAAAGAACTGCTATATCCGGTGGGGTAGTCCATGATCATACTACCGGGTACTTTAGTTTCAAGTAATGGGGAAAGGGGATGGTAGGGTACAGGACACCGCAGGGGTGGTCCTGCAGGGAATCTCTATGCACCTTGTAGATACCTTGCAGACGCGAAGGTGATTGGCGGAAGAGGAGAGGAGGAGGAGGAGGAGGAGGAGGAGGAGGAGGAGGAGGAGGGTTGTGCGGACAGAGGAGAAGGATGTGGGAGTAGTGTTGACGAATAGATACAAGAGAGGAGACAGAAGGTGGAGAGCCAGGAAATGGAAGGCAAGGGGAGCAGGGCAGCGGGGTTGGAAAGCGCGAAGAAGGGAGAGGGAGAGAGAAATCACCTTAAATGGAGAATGATGATAGTGAGAGCATCTGTTATCAAGGCACCAGTAACAGCTAGGAGACGAGGACAAGTTAGATCAGTCCAGTGGGATGCTCGGGGTTGTGGAGAACGGACAACGAAAGATGGAAGGATGGGTGCGAGTGTGAGAGGAGGAGATAGAAATGCACTAGAATTCTTGCTGGCAGGACGATGCTGAGGTCAAGGAACAAATATCTGGAGTGCATGTCGCAGGTTCTCAATGGCAGGGGCAGATGGGCTGGGGTGTTGCAACAAAACTTTGTGAGGAGCAACACGCGGAGTGGTGGGAGCAGCGAGCGCACGGCACGGACATTCATGATGGTAGAAGAAGATCTCCCTGGAGATGATGAGCTTAGGAGAATGTAGATGAGATGAGCCCTTGAGAGGGAGAGAAAGAGAGCAGAAGTACAGATAAGGTACCTTCAGTGTCTCAGTCGGTCGAGGGTTGGTGTAGGAGCGGTCTCCTCACGGAGGAGGTTCTCGATCCCTGATCCTGTTCGCAGCATTACGATCTACGGCAGCGTGCATGAGGATGTTGAGAGGATCTGCAGGGAGATTGAGGAGGGGCGGAGGGGCTCGTTGACATGCCTCTCGATGGCAAAGCTTCAAGTGTACTCAGTCCCCGCAGTCGCTAAGATGCTGGGCACCAACACGTCGCTCTTGATGCTGGACCTGAGCAGGCAAAGGATGGGCTGCCTAGGGTAAGACTCCCTCGCGCTCCTCTTCGCCTTGCCTCCGCCTCCTCCGCCCTCTCTGCATCACAGGAACTGATGTGCAAGTTCTTGCAGGGCGACTGAAGTTTGCGAAGCTCTAATGTCCAACAAGACGCTGCAGACGCTGGAGCTCTCTGCGAACCCCATCCCCTTCAATGGTTCCTGGAGATCCGCGTCCTCGAACAGAGGCCTCATGCGCCTGGCGGAACCTGGGGCTTCTGCTCTTGCCCGCCTCCTCTCCAGCAATCGCTCGCTGACCTCCATCGGGCTGGCTCATAACGTGACTGTGAAGAGGTTGCGAGACGTCGGCTGATGAGAGTCCGCAGGCGATAGGAGACGAAGGAGCCCAGAACTTGGCAAGAGGTGAAGACCTCCTCCTCCTGACCTCAGCACCTCCTGCCGCTCCCCCCTCCCTCCCAGAGTCCTCCTCCCCTCCCCTTGCTCACCGACCTTCCAGGACTCACTTCCTCCCCATCAAGCATCTGGATTTATCCTGCAACATGATCGGACCTGATGGCATGAAAGAGCTAACCAAGATCTTTCCTCGTCTCTGCCAGCTCGAGGTATCGAATCCTACCAGCCGCTGGAAGTGAACGTCCGTAGGTACTTGACCTTCGAGGCAACCCTATCCGAGATAAAGGAGCGAAAACGCTCGCCTTAGGTATCCCTCCCTCCTTCCCTCCCTCCCTCTCCCCCTCCCTCCGTCCTCCCCGTCTCTTATTGCTTCTCTTCTGATTTCGCGCTGCATCACTTGCTCCTCTCCATCGCCCAACTCGATTCGCTTTCTCCATCCTCCCCCTCTCGTCTCCTCCCTGGACTCCTCCGGTCTCATCCCTTCTATCCTCTTCTCTCTCCTCCTTTCTGATCTTTCCATACCAGGGCTGCAGAAGCATACCATGCTGCACAGGGTCGGAGTGTCTCTGCCCACCGATCTCGGCTCGAGTGGATGGAGGAGACTTGCGGACCTCGTTGGCTCCACCTCGACGCGCATGGAGATCCCGCAGGCCAACAAGCTCGCGGCCCTCATGGGCCTGCAGAAGAGGTCCCCCTCCTCCTCCTCCTCCTCCTCCTCCTCCTCCTCCTCCTCCTCGGACCACCCTTCTCCACGTTCCCGTGTCGTCTGTCCACTCCCCCTCATCTTCTCTCAGACTCGGCCAGTCCTCGTGGCTTCACGTGCTCGACACTTCAATCATGCAGGTCCTGCGCTCTTCCCTGCTGCTGCCCAGCTCACAGTTAACAGCTCATCCTCCTCGCCACGGCGACGGATCGGCCGAGGAGCTTCATGGACGAGGAGGAGAGAGTCTGTGTCTTCATCCCGCCGGACGATTCCGAGGAGCACAGCAGCATGTATGGGACCTGCGACCTTGCGGGTTTGTAATATAGTATACAAAGATTGTCGTACCGCCCCACCCCAACCCCTTCTCTTTCTCCTCTCCCCGACCTTCCCGCTGCTCCTTTTTCTCCACTTGTCCTGTTCAGCTTTGACCTGAGCTTTTCTCGAGCAGCTGCTGCCTGGCCTGATAGTTTTGGGTCACACCCTGTTCCATCTCCTCCATCCTCTTCCTGCTCTCCTTCCCGTCCCTTCCTCCCCCTCCTCTCCCCGTCCCCTCCTCTCTCCATCCCCTTGCCGTCTATCCCACTTCTCTCCCGCTCACCTTGTAAAATGCCGCAATGTCGGCATCTGCATCCTCTGCATGTCCATGTTACAATCAGCTGACGAGGAAGCATCGCCTCACTGTTTCCCGTCAGCACGGGCACGCTCTTGCTCTCCTCCCCTCGGCTGCTTCCTCCCCTCCCTGGTCGAATCTCTTGGCTCTCCTCCCGGGTCACCTCCCCCTGTGCTGCTCCCGCCTGCTGTTCCCCCTGCTCCACACCTTCACTTTCCCTCCTCCCGCCCGGCGGCACAACAAACCTTGAGCGCCGCCCGGTACTGTCGCACCATGAGGTTGTACCTGCAGCTCTACTCACCTCCTCCTCCTCCTGCTCCTGCTCCTGCTCCTCCCCTTCCTCCCCCCTCCCCCTCCTCCCCTGTCCCTTCTTGTGCTGTCAAACTCCTTATCTTTGTCCGGCACGTGCTCGTGCTTCTGCGCTTCCTCCTCCTCTCAACATCTCCCTCCCCTCACCAGTTCTCGAAATCGTTTTGCAGCCCAACTCGCTGTTTTTCCATGATGCCCTGCGTCAGAGCAAGTGAGCGGGAGCTGTAAAGGAGCGGAAAGAGGGAGGATGGGCAGGAGAGGAAAGCAGAAGGTAGCGGCGGAGCAACGAGGAGGGAGCAAGAGAGCAAAAGGGAGGAGGGAGGAGGAAGAGGAGGAGAGAACGGCTCTACCTGGATCTGCTCGATCTCTGCTTTCAACTCTCGCAGCCTGTCAGGGAAATTGAGGGCCGAGGCTCCTCCTCCTCCTCCTCCTCCTCCTCCTCCTCCTCCTCCTCCTCCTCCTCCTCCTCCTCCTCCTCCTCCTCACCGGTTGAATTTCTCCTTGTAGGAGCTCTTGTGAAACTCGATCTGCGACTTGAGCTCCCGCTCCTGCAAAGCGTCATCATCTCCTGGCCCGACCCCTCCTCGCTCCTCGGACACTTCTCGCTCTCCTCCTCGCTCCTCTTGTTCCACTTCCTCCTTGAACGTTTCTTCATCCCTTCCCCGCTGTTCCTCATCCTCCCAATTCCCCCCCTCCTGCTCGCCCCTTATCCTCCTCTCTTCTTCGCTGCTCCTCTCTCGCACCTCCGGGTCATCTTCCGTCGCATCTGTTTCTCCCCTCATCGCTCGCTCCACTCGCAGCTGCTCGATATGCGACTTGATCTGAAATCAACTTAGCAAAATTCAACATCCATCGCTCCTCCCCCTCCTCCTTCCCTCCCTTCTCCTCGATACACACCTCTCCTCTCTCCTCTCTCCTCTCTCTCCTCTCTCCTCACTCTCCTCTCTCCTCTCTTTCTATCCCACTCAGTCGCTCATTTCATTTCGAGAATTCGTACGCAACTCCACCTCTTGCACCCTGTAGCTACGTCACACTGACTCTTTCCCTCGGTCACCCTGCCTCCTCCTTTTCCCTCCCTGCCTCCTCTTCCTCCTTCACTTCAACCTCGGATATCTTGGATCGACTTTCATTTACAGCTTCTCCAACTCCCTTGGCTTCATCGTACTGGATAATCTTAGACGGAGCAAACACGAAGGGAAAGATGACATGGTTGAGAGTCGAGCAAGAACAGCAAATGAACGACGACATGGAGGTGGTGGAGGTGGTCGTGGCGGTGGTAGTGGTGGAGAAACAGGTTGAGGTGGTGGAGGGGGAGGTGGGAGGGGGGGGACGGGGGGGAGGAAGGATGGAGGTTGGCAGACTTGCTGAATACCTGCACTGGAGCAATGGACTGCTGGAAAATGCTACCTTGAGAGCCCTGGCTCGTCTCTCTCGCTCCTGACCCTTGCCCATCATTGACAAGTCCGCTTATCAAGCTGAGGAAATGAAGACCAATTATGACGTGTGGATCTGGAAGTATTTTCCTTCCACTGTTTGTCTCATCAGGATTTGAAATCCTCTTATGTACACGGAAGATCAATACCAAGCAACAATTGAGATGCATGACCATGAATTGTGGTGCGAACTGATTTTTCTGCAGGAATCTGAACTTGGTCCGTCATATTACGAAGATGTCATGGAGACTAAATTGAAACAAGCTTGACCTGATAATTGAGTCAAGATCTCTTAGATATGGCTTGAACAGAAATTGGACGGAGACAATGCCTACGGTATTTGACATCTGAACTCGAGTGCGAGCCTGCGCAATGCTTGGGCCAGTGGCCCAGGCTTCTCCATACAGCTCTTTTCCGCTTTCAAACACGAGTTCGATGGAATGCTCTCTACG